AGAGAACCCCAGACAGGACCTCAGACAGGACCCCAGACAGAACCAGACAGAACCCCAGACAGGACACCAGACAGAACCGCAGAGAGAACCCCAGACAGGACCCCAGAGAGAACCCCAGACAGGACCTCAGACAGGACCCCAGACAGAACCAGACAGTACCCCAGACCGAAACACAGAGAGAACCGCAGACAGAACCTCTGACAGGACCGCAGAGAGAACCCCTGACAGGACCCCAGAGAGAACCACAGAGAGAACCCCTGACAGAACCCCAGAGAGAACCAAATAGAGAACCCCAGATAGAACCCCAGACAGGACCCCAGACAGGACCACAGAAAGAACCCCAGACAGAATCCCAGACAGGACCACAGAAAGAACCCCAGACAGAACCACAGAGACAACCCCAGACAGAACCCCAGACAGAACCCCAGACAGGACCACAGAAAGAACCCCAGACAGAACCACAGAGAGAACCCCAGACAGGACCACAGAAAGAACCCCAGACAGAACCACAGAGACAACCCCAGACAGAACCCCAGACAGAACCCCAGACAGGACCCCAGACAGACCTTTAACCTTTAGAACGCAGACACCAGACGGTTCAGTCCAGACCAGGAGCACACACTCTGCGTTTATACTAAACGGGTCCATAGTGGTGGTTCTGGGGATCTTGCAGAATCTCACATGATCTAACGTGACTTCAGACAGAAACAAACATGAAGGCAGGCTGTCGTGGTTAGCTGGTTGACCTCGACACTGAGCAGGGAATCAGCAGGTTTATAATAGAAACAGGACACGCTGGGGACACCGCCGGCCGCTCGCTCTCATTGGCTGCTGCAGGGTTCTGATCGGATCGGATCACGGTTTCAGATATTTATGATTCGACATCGGAGAGCCTGTGATCCAGTCTGTGATTCTGTCTGTAAACCCATCACACTACAGGATCCTTGGGGCCGACCAGGCTTTGATGGGGTACGATGGTTGGGATGGTGAACCGGACCCAGAATCGGCCCAGTTCTTGTCTAGTGTGCGGGCAGCATTAACCGCATCACGTGAATCTGAACTCAGAAGGTGTGTTTGTGTCCCAGCAGACTCTTACTCTCTGTCTTTGCTGATACGTTGCTGCATGACACCATTGGTAGGACGGAGGGGAAAATACGTGTGAGGTGTCTGACCCATGCTCTGAGCGATGGTGAGCTCCTGTAGACGTCCGTATGGCTGAACTGTACGGTGTTCTGGTCACGTTCACCACCGAGCAGCCATCTTTGTGTGTTTGATGGCCGGCTAGAAAGGGGAGCTAACATTAGCACAAGCTACAACGTTATTATTGACTTTATAAAGGACAATGATGAGCTGAGGAAGCTGCGGTCAGCTGGGAGGTGCTGGAAAGGTGTCTGCAGTGGTTTATGGGACGAGTAGTTTCTTCACTCTGAAAGTAGTCCTGCACAGTCCTGGACCTGTCCTTGTTTCTGTAGTCTTTAGCTCCGTATCAGATTTTTTATCATCTGGCTGGCTCGGGTCCAGGCTTACAGCTCTTTATGAAGGCTTTTAAGGAGCTTTATTTTGAAGGGACGTGTGTGTGGGTTTCCTGTTTGTGTTGTGTGTGTGTGTGTGTGTGTTTAATGGAGTTGCTTCCTGCCCTGATGAAGATGATGAAGCATGTTTGTTAGGGGGTCTGATGGGTTCTGTATTGATCCAGTATCGGCTGAAGAACAGAGACCTCATGCTTACTGTGATCAGGAACCAGAGTCCATCCCTCTTTCCTGGTTTTATGGGTCTGCTGTATTTAAATAGGCTACATGCCATCAGGCTGGTCTGCTGTTATTAGAGTCCACCAGAGTCCCACTCAGATCAGCTGGAAACCCAGTCCAGACCAGTCTGCAGCAGAAGCTGGTTTTACTTAATGTCAGCACCAGGACCAAAGGTTCAGTCGTCTGTGGTCCCCCCAGTGATCTGATCTGACAACCTTATTATGAAACAGTGTCCTGGCTCTGTGTTGTGTTCTGTCCTGGTTCTGTCCAGACCCTCAGTTCAGTGTCCTGGTTCTGTCCAGACCCTCAGTTCAGTGTCCTGGCTCTGTCCAGACCCTCAGCTCAGTGTTCTGTTCTGTCCAGACCCTCAGCTCAGTGTTCTGTTCCGCTCTGGTTCTGTGCAAACCCTCAGCTCAGTGTCCCGGTTCTTTTCAGTCCCTCAGCTCAGTGTCCTGGCTGTGTCCAGACCCTCAGTTTAGTGTTCTGTTCCGCTCTGGTTCTGTCCCGACCCTCAGCTCAGTGTCCCGGTTCTGTTAAGTCCCTCAGCCCAGTATCCTGGCTCTGTCCAGACGCTCAGCTCAGTGTTCTGTTCTGCTCTGGTTCTGTGCAGACCCTCAGCTCAGTGTTCTGTTCTGTTTCGGTTCTGTTCAGACCCTCAGCTCAGTGTCTTGGCTCTGTCCAGTCCCTCAGCTCAGTGTCCTGGCTCTGTCCAGACCCTCAGCTCAGTG